CTCCCATAAGGTTACGGTCTCAGAAACGTTCAGGGGCAGTTCCATCTGTCCTGTAGGGTTGCTGTGGGTTGGAATCAACTTGATGGCAGTGAACTACTTGGTTTGGGGTTTGGCCGCTCCATGTTGGGCCACCATGAGGTCAGCAGTTCACAGCCACTAGCCACTCTGCTCTTGAACGATGAGGCTTTGTGCTCTCACTAACATGACAGCAGTTCTGCTCCGCTCTTACGTCGGGTGGCCCGGATGGCAGGGGATTGTTGGTGCTACTCTGTTCCGGTTTGTGGACGAACCACAATGTGTTTGTCCATCTGCCGGCTACTTGGTCCTGTGGCCGTTGTGACGCATCCTCCCTGCCCCGCAGCTGCACCATCTGGTTAGTGATGACGTGTGTCTGAAGGTAGCGGAGCTCTACCTGAACGAGAAGAAGCGCGGGGCTGCCGGCGGCAACCTCTCCTCACGATGTGTGCGTGCCGGCCGGGAGACCAGCTACCAGTGGCGGGCAGAGCGGTGCATGGCCGACGAGAACTGCTTCAAGGTGGGCAGGGAGCAGGGATGGACCTGGCCAGCGCTCCCCGTGTCTGGGATGGTAGCTTTGGGTGGTCTCAGGAGGACAGGGTGGGCCCTTGTGCTCCCCAGTCTGGGGGCTTCAGCAGGCTTGTGTGGCCCCGCCAGGTGATGTTCCTCCAGCGCAAAGGGCAAGTGATCATGACCATCGAGCTGCTGGACACGGAGGAGGCCCAGATGGATGACCCCGTGGAGGTGCAGGTCAGCATGGCACACGGCGCATGTGGTCTACCGTGAGGGTCCAAGCCCTCACCGGGGAGTCACGTGCACCTTCCTGCCTCCCTCCCACAGCACCTGTCCAGCTACGTGGAGCAGTATGTGGGCACAGAGGGCACTGCCAGCTCACCGAGTGAGGGCTTCCTGCTGAAGCCAGTGTTCCTACAGAGGTGCGAGAGCCAAGGAGGGGTCATTTCAGGACCTCAGAGCCTGAGGGACAGGAGACCACAAGTAGGGGGGTGGGGCTGGGAGGGGACAGGCTAGCAAGGGACCCGTGGGGGCCTCTGTGCCGGAGGTCCCACAGGTAAGAAGGTAGAGGAGGGGCCGAGGGGGAAGGGGGCTGGGAGAAAGGTGCGCTGGGGGCAGAGGCATTGGGGGTGGGGTCCCAATGACTGGGGGCAGGGGCGATATTAGGGCTTTGCTTGCGTTTCCTTGACTCCCTTGGTGAGGATCTCACGTGTTGTGGCGGTGGGGGGCGGGGATAAGCTGGGAGGCGCTGGCACCGCCCTCTGAGTGCCTCCGTTGCAGGAATCTTCGGAAGTTCCGGCGATGGCAGTGCGCGCAGGTGCGGGCCCTGCGGGGTGACGCCAAGGGTTCGTGGAAGCGGCTGGTGGGCGTGGAAAGCGCCTGCAGCGTGGACTGCCGCTTCCGGCTCAGCACCCACAAGATGCTGTTCATCGTCAACTCGGAGGACTACATGTACCGCCGCGGCGCCCTCGGCCGCGCCAAGCAGGTGCCCTCTTCGCGCCTCCCAGGGTCCTGCCCAGCCTTCTCCCTCCTTTCCCCTCCACTTCGGACCGGTGCCCTGCTGCCCTGACCTGGCCGCCTCCCCATGCAGGTGCAGCCCCTGGTGCTGCTGCGACACCACCAGCACTTCGAGGCGTGGCACGGACGCTGGCTGGAGGAGCACGTGCCGGTGGAGGCAGCCAGCCTGGTGCAGGACTGGCTGATGGGCGAGGACGACGAAGACCTGGTGCCCTGCAAGACGCTGTGCGAGACTGTGCGCGTGCACGGGCTCCCTGTGACCCGCTACCGCGTGCAGTACAGCCGGCGCCCCGCCTCACCCTGACCGCCTGGGGACACCACCCAGGCCTCTCCACAGCCACTTGCCCCAGCAAGGGGTCCAGACTGTGCCAAACCAGAGGGGGCGCCACCCTGGGGGTGTCGGGTGACTGCCTGAGGGGAGGAGACCCCAGAGCTGCGGGCTGAGCCCAAGGTGGGGTGGGGCAGGGCCTAGTCACACTGATGCCAAAAGTGGGGCGTGCGGTGGCTCTGACTCCCTGCAGCTGGCCTGCTGGGCCTAGCAGCCGACCTGCTAAAGCTTCTGCTCTGAATGGGAGACACAGCCGGCCGGCCGAGGTGCAGCCATCACCCCCTTCCCTACCGTGCACTTACAGTGGATCTTATTGAAAGATGCACCGGAGCACTGGTCTTCCCGGTCTGCCGAGGGCGTGCCGCCCTGGGGCTGAAAGCCATCTGTGGCAACGCTGCCTGCCCTGCAGCCCCGTCCTGGAAAGCCCTGCCCTGGAGAAAGGGGCTGCTGTTCCCCTGAGGGTGTGGGCCTGAAGGGCTCGTGCCAAGAATGCCAAGCTGCACTTGCCGCGGGGGCGGGGCCAGTTCCCTGAGTGCCCCACCCTCGTCCACTCTGCTCCCCGTCTCCAGACTCCCACAGCAGAGCTGTGCCAAACGCGGTTCCCGGAAGCATACTTGTATTTCTAGAAGCTTCTGGAACTCTGGAGGCCCGAGGGTTCCAAGGTCAGCACATCCCCACCTGGGGTCTGGTGGCCCCTGTGGCCTGCGTGCAGTAGGCACGTTGTGAGTCCCTCGTTCTCTGGAAGGAGTGTGTCGTCTGGGTTCCTGGACCCATCCCCTGCCGGCTGGGCTTGCTCTGCCAACTCCACCCTGGGCAGGCGGGAGGGGGTGCCCACCCTGCATGCTCTGAGGGGCATTTGCCCCTCCTGGACACCTTCCACCCGGCCTCATCCTTCCTTTGCAGCTGTTTTGAATGTACATTTCCTTTTCTATTTATTTGCACATTAAAGGTAAAAATTAAATATTGCTGTAAAGCCCAGGGCCTCTGGAGGTCATTCTCTGCAAGGAAGTCAGACGAGTCTGTACGCTCCTTGGGTCCCAAACCCCCACCAAGAGGGCCTACACAGCCCTCCCCTTATGGCAGGGAGTGGGGGTAGGGGGGCCCCTGTTTCCTCAGGCCCTTGGGATGGCATCCATCCTACATAGGGTAGGGTAGAACTGCCCTTGGGAGTTTGAGACTGACTCTTTAAGGGAGTAGAAAGCCCCATATTTCTCCCCGAACCCCAGTTGGGTTCAAACTGCCAACCTTGCACTTAACAGCCTAATGCGTAACCACTGTGCCATCGTCATGCCTCCCCTAGGTGGTCTTGCCCAGATGCCCCTCCCCTGTGTTGGGTGGAGGGGAATGGGGGGGCGGTGACTGCTGAGCACTGGGTAGGGCAGGTTCCCATGAGCAGGTTCCACATGCTCACCCCCCAAGACTACCACATCTGTGCCCCTGTGTTCTGCTCTGTGACCCCCAGCTAGGGGCCCACCCTGCCTCCCTCACTGCTCCTCCCAGCCCTGTTGCCTCAGGCCACTGGGTTGGTGCCAGTTGGGAACCCTGTCCCGCTTGCTGTCCTGTGGGGCAGGACACTCCTGAGGTCTCAGGCAGCGTCCCCCTGTGTGCTGCCTCTGCCCTTCTCTGCACAGACCACCCTGGCTGCTTCCAGGAACCCTGCACCCTGTGCTTCCCTGCCCTCTCTTCCCCCCGGCATCGCATGCCTCCCAGACCGCTGGGTGGGCAGGCAGGACTTGGGGGTCTGGTGACTGGGACTCCAGCCACCCTCTATTCTACTTCAACCGAGGTGTAGACACAGCAGCCACCAGGGGAGGTGCTAGGTCCATGGGGCAGGCGTGGATGAAACAGTCCAATGTGTCCCCAAGATTCCCTCTCCCAGGTGGTCCAGGCCTGTGACCTGATGGTGCCCCAGAAATGACCCATCTTAGTTGCCGGAGGAGCTGGTTTCCAAGCCGCCTCGGTAAAAGGGCTGCAGGGCCATGGGAGCAAGGGACCCTCACAGGGACACAAGTTTGCCAGCCGCCCTGGAGAGAGAAAACCCAGAGAGGCCACTGCTCCGCCTCCCCCGGACCCCTGAGCCACAGCAACTTGACATGGAAGTGGTGCCCTACTTTGGGCCACTTAGTTGGTGGGAATTCATCAACCTCATACAACGGGTGGGCACACCCCTCTGCCCCTCTGGCGTACACCTGCGCCTGCCTCACCACCAGAGGCGCTCCTAGCGGCAGGCTGGGGGAGGACATGGGTTCACTCCGTTGGACCGACGGTCCTTTAGATAAGAGAGTTTTACAAAAGCAGGTGATGTGCGGTTGGCAAAGCGGTGTCACGAGTCAGGAGTGAGCGACAGTTTGCAAAGGGACAGTCTGCAAAGGGCGCTTCCGGCCAGTCATGCGAGCCAGGGGCCTCGGGCCTGGAATCCCTGCCCCAAGGGTAGCAGGAGGCAAGGGGCCTAAGATGTGGGGGGTGCGGGAAGGCATCGTCTCTCAGACTCCGAAAAGGAGCACTGTAGGCCATGTGACATGTGGCTGCGATGGGGTGATGCCCTGCCTCTTGGACGGTCGAGGTGTTGATGCGACGCTGCCCAGGGCCTTCAGGGGCCCAAGGCCCCTGGCTCACGCCTAGGGGAGACGGCCGGAAGCCCTAGAGCCGCGCTGCGGGCGCCTTTCCAGCTTCAACCACAGCACAAACAAACGGGAGTGGTTTCCACAGCAACAGCAAAGCGGCGGAAGGGCGCGGCAGGCCGGAGACGGGTCCCTAGCTCCTCCAGGTCCAGATCTGTCTAGGGAAGGCAGAGGGACCAGGACTGGGGGCGGGGCCATGGGAAGAGCCAGGGCGGGCCCAGGAGGCCCAAGTTAGGTCAAGGAAGGTTCCCGGAAGGGCCAGGGCGAGGTGGCCAGAGCTGTAGTGACTGAGAAGCAAGGGAATTCAGGGCATGCTGCCAATCCTGTGGGTTTGCCCATCTTCTTTGTTTTTGTTTGTTAGAATGTTTACAGAAGAGTACTTTGGCTTGAATTGTTTCCTCAAAGGGATGTGCTCACACCCACGTTTACCGCTGCACGGTTCCCAGTAGCAAGAAGATAGACCCCCGCCCAAATGCCCATCCGCGGAGGACGGGGCTAAGGCACTTTGGTGCACACAGGAGCCTAGGCACCCTTAAAGCATGATGATGAAACTGCCTACCACCTCTGCCACGGATGGACCTCGAGGACATCATGCTGGGGACCCTGCACAACAGAAGGAAACTGCTGGGTCCTGCTCGTCCTCGCCATTCTTATGTTTGAGCCCGTTGTCTGTCCACCCATGGCTGTGTCCACTCTTTTCCCCTGCTCCCTATGTTCCCAAGCATGATATCCTTCTCAGACACAAAAGGACAAATACTGTACGAGACCATTTTGCTTTCTATGCTATAAAATTATGCGTATGGTCTCACGCAATATTTATGGGCTTGTGATCTTATTTTTTTAATCAAGAAAAGGTTTTCTTTCCTTTTATGGATTCATTTTATTGGGGGCTCTGACAGAGGAAAAGGTCTTCATACCAGAAGAAACTGATTTTGATGACTACATCGGGAGGTGGGAGGGGAGAGGAAGTATTAGGTTCAAAACTCACTGCCATCGAGTCAATTGACTCAAAGTCACCCTCCAGGACAGGGCAGAGCTGTCCCTCTGAGTTTCCAGGAGAGACAGCCCCGCCTTTCTCCTGAGGAGCTGCTGGCGGCTTCGAACTGCTGACCTTGAAGCTAGCAGTGCAATGTGTAACCACTACCCCTCCAGTGTCGCAATACCGTAGACAGGAGTGGACTTGGGTGAAGGGGACGATAATATCCTAACAGAAGGAGATGGGGAAGAAAAGTGGGGGCTGAGGTGGGGGTTGGGGGTGGGGTGAGGCGGGCAAGCCACTGGGAGATCTGATACATTTTTACATTGTTGAATGGAAAAATGATGAACTGATACGGGAAACCTCAACTTAATTCACAATAAGAAGTTTGAGCGGGGTGGGGGTGGGGGTGTGTGCCCAGATCCTACCCCACAATCTGATAATGTGGCCTTTTTTAGAAATAAGGTCCCTGGAGTTTTCATCCAGCTGAAATGAAGTGGCAGTAGCCTCGGGGGAGCCCTAGTTGAGTGTCCTTTTAAGAAGAGGGACATTCGGACACCAAGATTCAGCCACAGAGAAGGCCACGGGATGACGGAGGCAGAGACTGGAGTGAGGCAGCCACCAGCCCAGTCCAGGCTCCAGCCTGGAGCCCCCAGAAGCAGGAGGCAGCGAGGAAGGCTCCTCCCCAAAAGGAAGCCTCTATGTGGACCTGGTCCTGCCGACACTGTGAGCTTGAACTTCCGGTCCCCAGAATTTAGGGAGATGAGATTGCTTCTGTCTTAAGGCCCCGGCATGGGGTTCTTAGGAGCCCTGGTGGCACAGTGGTTAAGAACTGGGCTGCTAACCGGAAAGTCGGCAGTTTGAAACCACCAGCTGCTCCTCTGGAGAAACTCGGGGCTTTGTGCTCCGGTGAACACTTACCACAGGGGCAGTTCTACTCTGCCGTAGAGGGTCGCTGTGTGTCAGCACTGACCCGACGGCAGTGAAGTGTTGTACGTGCCTGACTTTGTAGGACAGGCCCAGGCCACCACGGCCCTCAGGACCTCCCAGCAGCACATGGGGAGAAAGTAACTTCCCTATCCCCCATCTACTGACCTGGAAGAAGGGAGGGGGCTAGTCACCCACATGGTCCCCGTGATCCCAGTGTCTCTGAGCCTTTCTCTGCTGTCTGGGGACCACTCCCCCACCCCAACCCCCGCTAGGCACAGTAACAGTCCCCATGGAAGGGGCTGGCGGCCCACTTTGTGCTGCAGAAATGTCCTACACAAACATCTTCCCATGGATGTCCAGGATGTGAGTCAGGAGGGGGATACCAGCCATTCCTGCCCCCGCCTGCAGTGACAGTGGCCGACAGTCTCCGGCGGCTTGTGTCCCAGAGTCTACACGAAGTGGGCGTGGACTGCCCTTGTGTGGTTGCCAAGGGCGCCCCATGCCTGCCCCGGGACCTCTCTGAGCCTCGGTCTTACCCAGAGCTGGAGGCAGGGCCTGCCTATCTCCACTTGGGCTGGCAGAGCGGCCACCACATGGATACTGTCCAGGCCTCTGCTTCATCATTTCCTGGCTGGTCTCCAGGACCCCAGCTGTCTGCCTAGATAGAGCTGTCCTGGGGGAAACAGTTCCCTCTGACCCCAGGTCCCCACCCCCATCCACTGGGCCCTCCTGCCACCAGTCCCTGGGCCAGGAGGGCTGTGGGCAGGAGAGACACTGAGCACTCCCATTTCTGCCTCTGCACAGAGAGCATCTCCCACCCCAGGTGATGCATATAGCATCCCCACAGGGACCTGGCTGCCAGTGAGGGGGGTCGGGGGCTGGCGGAGGAAGGGACTCCCTTAGTCTGGGGACCAGCTTTGAGCCCCACCACCCAGGGGCTAGCATTCTGTCAGGCCCCAGGGCTCACTCAGTAGATCCCAGACTCGGCAGGTGTCCCCACCCCCACTGGGATGGTGCAGGGCAGACATGAGGGTCCCCCAGAGGCCTGGGGTCTGTGGGTGTTCCTCCCCTCCCTGACCTTCAGCCCAGAGAGGGGGAAGGGAGGCTTCAGGAAAAGCCCCTGACGCAGGAGTGGGCCTGGGGGACTCTCAGGAAAGCCGGGGCTACAGACAGAAGTCTTGGGCAGGAAGTGACCACTTGAACCACAGATGCTTCCTGGCTCGCGGTGGTGAAGTGGGGGCAGCGGACTCGGTGGGTCACTAGAAGAACGTTAGTCTTTGAAGTGACTTGGGCTGGCCGGGGCTGGTTGGGGTAAGGGGTGTCTTGGCCCTGCTTCAGTCAGGATTGGGACAAGGGGGACAGGAAAGGGTCTTCCTGGTTGATCTCTCAGCCAACGCCTTCCAAGGCCAGCCCAGGAAGCTGGGGTGGGGGTGGTTTTGGGGCAGGCAGGAACTTGAGGGTCAGAGCACCGAGCCTGTCAGCAGGGACATGTTTGGCCGCCTGCTGCTTGGGGCCCTGGTGCTGGGGCTCATCCCTGCTGGCAGCACCCGTACCCCCAGCATCTACGACGAGCCCTTGGAGGATGGGAGTGCCGGCGGGACGACTGGTGAGTGAGGGGCACAGAGAGACTGGGAGCAGAGGGAGAAGGGGAGCCCCCAGTGCCATCACCCACCCCAGGGAGGTGGGGACAGCTGAAGCCTGAACTCCAGTCCTTGGGGAGCCAGCTTCCACTGCAGATACAGGTGGGGGGGTGGGAAGCTGGCACAAGGGAGTCACTAGAGGTGATCCCCAGGGGCAGTTGAGGGATCCATGGGGATGCAAGGGACAGACAGCAGGGAGTATAATAAGAGGTGACATGAAGGGGGGGGCACCAGGGGGCAGCTGAGAGGCTCAGGGGGACACAAGGGACAGGAAACGGATGCCACACTAGGCCACCGTAAGGAGGGCAGCTGAGGAGTCTGAGCTAAGGCTTGGACAGCTGGAAGGCAGGGTAAAATGGGGGGGACACCGGGGGCAGGAAGGGCAGACATTTGAGGTCCACGGCCTTCCCTCCCACTGGGGCTGATGCCACTCTCCCCCCCAGATGCCCAGCCAGGGGTCGGAGCAGCAGATGCGACAGGGGGGGCCCGGCCCGACCCTCGAGGCTTTCCGGGCCAAGTCTCCGCCAATGACACCACCACTCTGCTCCTGCCCAACAGCTCACAGGCACTGTTGCTGGGCTGGGTGCCCACGTGCCTTGTGCCCGCCATCTACACGGTGGCTTTAGTGCTGGGCCTGCCGGCCAACGGGTTGGCGCTTTGGGTGCTGGCCACTCGGGTGCCCCGCCTGCCCTCCACACTGCTGCTCATGAACCTGGCGGCCGCTGACCTGATGCTGGGCCTGGCGCTGCCGCCGCGCATCGCCTACCATCTACGCGGCCAGCGCTGGCCCTTCGGCGAGACCGCCTGCCGCCTGGCCACCAGCGCGCTCTACGGCCACATGTACTGCTCGCTGCTGCTGCTGGCCGCCGTCGCGCTGGACCGCTACCTGGCCGTGGTGCACCCGCTGCGCGCGCGC